CTGAGGCTGTCGCCAGTGGATGACGCGCAGATGTCGCGGCTACAACCGATGCAAAACGAACGGGGTTGTTACTACTATCGGATGGGCCTATAAGGGTAGAGTTATTGATAAGGTTAGGGAAGTGAAGAGAAGGGGTATTTGGAAGAGAACGAAGGGAGACGTTAGCAGTTGCCTGTTTTCGCCTACCCGACCATGCTCTATTTAGTAAGTAAGGCGAACCAACTGAAGACACCATGTGAGTGTTGATGTGTCATGACAGGATTTCCGTTGTAGGCGTTATGGTAGCGGGCGCCCTGGGATACAGTCAGAGCGCCCATATCCGGACAGGAGGGCGGTTGGGGTCCTCAACCAAAGGCTACCGATCGTAAGCCTAACCGTTAGGTAGCGGGAAATGCCACTGCGTTACATTTTTTTGTAGACAGGTCGCTGTACATGTTCCAGCTTCCAGGGATCAGGAGACTGTCAGACTACTAAACGTTTACCAATCTGATGTGGTAGACTGCGAGTGTCCCCAGTATAACTCGTTGGGTTACGGAAGCACACAAAACCACATACCACGTTGTGGTCCAGCCTCTTTGTGTTAGCATGCCCCGTTGCTGTTCTTCAAGAAGTTTTGGATGTTGTTCTAGCTCTGATGATGATGTATCCAATGAAGTCAGTGCATGAGTCTCCAAGTCGCAAACCACGTTTGCTAGTTCGCGTCAATTATGGTATCAACAAGGTCTTAAGGCACGTGTGTATCAGGCCGGATCTTTTTGTATGGTTGTGAGGAACGGCTTCGTCAAACGGATGATGGGAGGCGTCTTCAGAGTTTTGAACACCAATGTCTTGGGTCAGTCATTTCAATCCATCAGCTATAAACGTTGGTTCCAGCTACTACAGTTTCGACCACTGGGAAAACGGAAATGTGGAACATATATCCAAACCTTGGAGGCGAAGGCATGTTCAGTTTGCTCGGAAATTGGGTAGGTGCATATTGAAGGCGAAAGCTTTGATGCACTAGCGACACTGACTGCGCGACTGAGCCATTTCTTCCAGTTTCACTAACCACTGGTGATTTGAGTCTCGGGCAGCAGAACTGATCTACTGATTGATACCAATGTCTTTGAAGTGTTGTTGTTGAAGTGAGACGGCGAGTATTTGGTTGTGGAATTGGTACTTATATCGCGAGAGACGTCCAGAACTATCAGCTGCGATAGTCAAGCCATGTGCCACACATGCCTACGTCATCATCATCATCATCGACAGCATGACATCAGTGTTCAACACCGATGCTTCACTGCCGTACAACCATGATTTATTTGAAAGCCTTGTTGTAAAGAAAAGAATAAAGGTGGACAGGGGAGAGACTTCGTGCAAGCTTAACACAATCATTCCGAGGTGCCTACACCTCCAGACATTCACTCAGGTAATCTGGATAGAAACTGACAACAAGAACGCCTCTGAGATCGGTTGGCAGCCATATCTTGTAGTGTCTCCAACCAGACACAGTGAGGATCACGCGGTTTCCATCCTGGAAGGCGAGTAGCACCGACAGCACCCAAGCGTTTCGTGATCTCCTTCATACTCCTCTGCCAAGTTAAGGGTTGGCCACCTCTCTGTTTACGCCACTCTGAATTGGGCATGGAAAACAGCACTCTCCGGCAAACGATGGTTCGGCATACGTAACACATGTCCCAACCAACGCAGCTTCTGGTGCTGGACACATTCTTCAATGGAAATATCCGTTACACAACCGAAAACGCGCTTTCTAACTGCCTCATTACGGATTTGCCGTAATGAACACGAAGCTAAGGTTCTGAGACGATTGTCGAATACCTGAAGACGTCTCAGTTCCGCTGCTCGAATAGGCCATACAACAAGACAGCCCGTACTGTAGCTTGATACACACGTCCCTTCAGATTCAGGGATAAACCATTCTGACGCCATAGGTGTCTCAAGTTAGCAAACGCGGCCCGAGCCTTGCAGATTCGTGCATTCACCTCATCTGTCACACTACAATCAGAACTAATACAACTTCCAAGATACGAAAAACGCTTCACAACTTCCAGCACCTCTCCCTGGATTGTAAG